TGAACTGATACATTTTTGTCAAAATAAATAAAAACTACAGAAAAATTATTTTATAGCAACAGAGACACGGTACCGCCGCAAGAATTAGAAGATCTGAAGGAGGTCTGGAGAATTCTGAAGGCGCACGACAAAACCTTAGATAACCACCTTGCCAGGGTAACTTGCGTAAGTACTTCTGGACAAACTTCATCCAAGATACTGGAATACTTACTTCCGTATCCCAAAAACTGCACCCAGTTTAATCGCCTATAACGTAATACTCAATTGATCCCAAAAAATGAGTTTCGTCATCCTTTATACTGGAATTCTCAAGTCATCCCACAAACTGACGATCACTCAGTTTAATCTCTCATGCTAAACCTTGATAGTTTTGGTTTTATAAGCCAATAACCAAGGAAAGGCTGGTGAATAAAGAGGAGAAGGACATTCTCTTCCAACACAATCGTGTGCCGTGCGGATCATTGCCAGTGGGAGCATCGCCCGCTCGAATATCAGTCAAAAGGACCTGAAAATTTTCTGAATTTTTGTGTACAGTTTTTTCAACAAAAGTTTACAAAATGTCTTGATTTATTAATTGAAGTTTTTTGTAACAATTTTTTCACCAATTGTAATTTGTGATCCTAATTTTTGTCATGCAGTCTGAGTAACTAACTGAGTTACTGAACTTCAGAAAACACTATGGAATCATCTTCGTCTCTGAGCAAAATTGCAAGCGCCGATCCTCAATAAATCATATGCCCGATCTGTTGTGAAGAGGGGAGACTCTTGTATCAGATTTTTGAGGGCGAGGTGGCGCATAAGCTGTGCTTTGCTTGCTGGCTTAAGGTGGCGGATGAGTTTCATCCGAAGTGCCCCTTTTGTTGGCAAGACTTGGAGCCACTCAGTCGCTTCTTACGCTCATAACTATTGCTTTTTTTGACCTTGTCTATTGTAAAACTAACGAAGACTGGTGAACAACCCCTCCTTTCCACCTATGACCACTAACTTGAACCTTCTCAATATAAACCACTGAAGAACATTCAACCCTTCCTCCATATCAATCATGTTTACCTTTGTTTAGTTCCTCTGACGATGACTCGGCAGAAGAGGACGAGGAGGCAAATGACTCGGATGATATAGAGGTTAAGACCGTGCAGCACTTGCGAGAGTCGGTTTCGGAGCCGGAACTGGAGCAGCTTAGGAGTGTGTCTGACTTTGATCTGTTCTCAAGCAGTGACGAGGAGGAGAGCACTTCCTTGGCTGGTCTTGCGTTCGCACACGTACGCGGTAGGTGGCGGTCGCGGGAACGCTATCATCTAGGATCGCTATATGGACTCCTCGAGCAATGATGAGGATACTCTGCCAATTAATTGGGCAAGCGGGCGGGGGCGGGGTCGCGGACGAGCAGCGCCGTCAGTCGCCGAGACTGCTAATCTACCAGGCCGGACTCGAGGCCGCGGTCGACGAACCAGAAGCGCTGGGTCATCCCAGCCCGGGGTCGGACCCTCCTCATAAAGGTTGAAACCCTCAAAATATATTACTAAAATAGTTAATGAACAGTTTATTAGAAAACTGTTTTTTAGTGAAACCTGTTTGTTAGAAAATAGTTTCTTAGTGCAAATGCCGTCGCAGTATGCCATATATGCCTACTCACAGTCTTTATATGCCTACTCACTTATCAGTAAGTTTCAAAATCTCAAATCTCAAAATTTAGTACTAAAATATTTTATGACTAGTTTGTTAGAAAACTGTTTTTTTAGTATGACTGCACACAGTATGCATGCCTACAGAGTATGCGTCACAGTATGCTTCACAGTATGTCTCACAGTATGCCTCACAGTATGCCTCACAGTATGCCTACATAGTATGCTTCCAAGCATGCCTCACAGTATGCCTAACAGTATGCCTCACAAATGCCTATACATTTTTCCTCAGTATGCCTACACACAGTGTCGGGCCACTCGTCATCATTTGCCGGTCCTACCCTCACATATCCTTAAAGCAAGTCGAATCCTCAGCTTTCAGCCTCTGGTCTAATCAGTCTTATCAGCGCACTTGTCTAATGCTCACATATCAGTAAAACAAGTCTGTCATAAAACTGCAGCTGGTTAGTCTTTTGTGCCAAAACTGCCTTCCAAAGTTGTATTTCCTAATGTGCTTCCTGATGTCAAATCTCTATATTGGTGCGCATATCATTTAAATTGTTCAGTTTTCGTAGTTAGTGGAACTAAAATTCCCAAGTGTTTTTTTTATTTGAGGAAGTTGTTTAGTTTTCACAGTTAGTGGCATTGAAATTCCCAAGTTTTTCTTTTTGATTTGAGAAAATTGGCTCCTACTGAAGCTAATTGTTATTGCGTTTCAAATCCACTCGTGTCATGTTAATGGTGCTCCAAATAATTATGTCAGAAATTGCCGGTCCAACATCAGAATTTCCTTGGGTTTCAATTGATCGCTTCAATGGTAAGAACCTCGAATCTACGCTTTATTTTCTTTCGCACTGTCATACAGATCACATGGTGGGCCTTAATGAGCCTGAACTCTTCGAAAGAGGTTAAAACACTATAAATTCTGCTGCTTTGATGATGGCATTGCCGCTTTATGTTCATTTAACTCCATATATAATAACACAGGATTCAGATAACGAGATAACATTGAATGTTTCATCGGAAGGGGACGAGACTCATACCCTAACTGTAACTCTTTTTCCTACATGTCACTGTCCAGGTTCAGTAATGTTCTTAGTAGTTTCCTAAGAAAAATCTGTCCTTTTTACTGGCAATTTCAGATAGCAAGTTGGTCATACGAAGCGAATAAGTCATCTTTTCGCCATTTACAAGAAGCTGCTGGTCACAATTTTGATAATATTTACATCGACACAACGTTTTGCAAAACATATTCCAGTTTTATACCTAATAGGGAGAGCTGTCTTTCAGCCATCTTTCAAGCCGTGCCCGCATGGCTCTGTTCATTTCAAAATATTCTGGTCCATTTTTGTAACAAAAATCGCTACGGTTATGAGTTTTCGATGAAAGGGTTTTTAATGACATTTATGAGTTTTTGATGACATTTAGATTCAACACTAAAGTTCATTTTTCCTTATGTCAGTATCACATGTACAAATTTGTTCCGTCAATTCAAAATTGGCTCACCTTAGATGGCGAAAGTACCAAAATCCATTTCTGCAAGCTGCAGTCTGCGTCTGCGAACATTAAACTGCCTTGAAAGCCGGGCATCCCATGTCCAGAAATGCTTACAATCATTCCAAAAGCAATGTTTTTCACTAAAAATGAGATAATGCCTGGGAGATTGAAGGAAGCAGTGTCTGAGAGAACCATTCGATGCTGTTATTCTTCGCACTCTTCAGCTGACGAAATAATTGATTTCGTTTCCAGTCTGCTATTCGAAAGTATTGCACCCTTCGTTTGTCCGCAAAAAGATACTCCACTTGACTCTGTGAAAGTGTTATTTTTAAATACGCTCAAACATCAGAACCCAAACACGTCAAGCGATGCGAGTACATTTTTTGGATAGAGAAAATAAATTCAATAAGAGAGGTAAACGCAAACTTTATCTGGAGAATGTTTCAACAAACACATCAGGCTACGAATAACATAGTGAGACAACAGAGACACTTTGTCGAAGATGGAATTTTTGAGGAAAGGTTTCAGAAACAGTCGAAACAACCGAAACAGCCAAAAAAGAACAAAAATATTGATCCAATTGCTCTACATCATTTAAAAACAATAGAATAGTTTTCGTACTGTACTTTTACCGCTTTTTTTAAGTTTTTCATTTCCGTTTTTTAAAAAAAGAGGATATTTTAATCCAGTTTTCAGAGTATGTTTCGGTTCGCCTTTCAAAAAATACAACCAAGCCGTCCTTTATCTCGTCTCAAATACAAAAACATCTCATCTCAAATACTGATGAGTGCGATGATGATTTCTGAACCAACTGAACCATCTCATTTCAAATTCTGATGATAATTTCTTAACCAGCCGAACCATCTAATCTCAATTAGCGAGGAGTGGTTTAGCTGCCATTACAAACTGAAGCATCTCATCTCAAATATTGATGATGATTTCTTACCTATAACTGAACCATATCATCTCAAATACTGATGGGTGACTTAACTGCTCCCATTTCAAACATGAATGGCATTTCAAACCCTGAACTGCAATGGCTTTCGATGACTATACTTTGTGATCCCAAAAATTATCCGATCGTCTGATGAAGATAAAGAAAGATTTGACATCCGCATAGTTAACCTATGTTTTAAGATTCGTTTGTGGATTCCGCTGACAAATGGATAGGTCCCTGCATTCATATTGAGCGTTGCTATGGATAATAAACCACATAGTCACCTCTAGCTTTTAATTGTTCATATGCAAGCTCAGTAATAAACAAAAATGCGCAAACCACTTACAATTTGCGCAATCCGCTTACATTTGCGGATTCCGCTTACAAATTTTGCGGATTCCACTTACAGTTGCGGAATCCAGATCAACTAGTTATATTTACTTGTTGCGGAATCCGCAACAAAACAAATGTGCCGACAAAATTTACGTTACAGGTATTTGTACGCGGAATCCACTGAAATTTTGTTGGTGGAATCCACTTACATTTTGGAACATATTTAAAGACTTGTCGCTCGAATCCAGGAACATACAGACACAAAATTGTGCGCCTATCCAGTGCACATTTTGGCCTCGTAATGATGGGAAAGCAATCAGAGTGGTCAACAAAAAATTCTCTGTTTTCTAATTAGTAGAAAAGTTTTTTTCGAACTTCTGAAATTAAGCAACGATAAATTGAGCCTGAAAATTTGTTTGTTCATTTCTCTAAAACTACTAGAGAATCACGGTTTAGATAATAGCAGTATGGAAAAACCTAAAAATTAGTCTTCAGGGCATTTTTACGTCATTTAATTAGAGGTAATCAAAGTAGTAGTTGTAGTACCAATCAAAAATTAAACACCATCAGCAATTTGGAAATTTGTACTTATCTCTCATTTTTGAACTCACATATGTAGCCTGTGGTTGTTGAACAGCTTCAGAAACAGGTTTTTGCCATTTGTTTTCCTGTTTTTTGTCCGTTTCTTGTGTGTATTTCAAAAACGAGTTATTAGGGCGCCGATTTGGTTGCTGGAAGGACGAGGAAATCACTAGATTGGATGAGTTCAACCGTTTTTTACTGTCTTCTTGTTTTTCTTTTTTCTCGTTGTCTACAATAATTGCTGCCAAATCATCGTTTTGTAGGTCCGAATGGCAGCATCTTTTGCACAAAAAGAGAACCAAAGCAGCAGTTACTACAACCCCAAACAAAGCTCCGCCGAAGATTGCATAATGAAATGGAGCCAACTCAAAATTATCTGTTTGGTTGACATACTCGTATACTATACTTTTATTTCGTTCCATTATTGAGTGAATATATAATGTTGTGCACTGAAGCTGCGTCAAAGCA